CAGAGAGTTCACAGACGGCCTCCATAGCCATGACAGGACAGGCAGAGAGTTCACAAACGGCCTCCATTGCCGTGGAAGGACAGGCAGAGAGTTCACAGACGGCCTCCTTGGCCGGAACAGAACAGGACAAGAGTTCACAAGTGAATACCACTGACATCTCTGGAGGTTCAGCAGCAGATGCCGCCACCTCTGGAGGTTCTACAGTAGCAACATCAGGAAACAGGTAGAGTTCATTAACATTCTCCTTAGCTGGACAGGTACAGCGTTCATCAACGGTTCCTAATAAACTATCAATTAGCATATTATTCAATTAATCAATTAGTCTATTCGAAGATAATGTCTGCTCCATTCCTTTAACAGAAACACTTGATTACTTTGCTTGCATCAAACAATTTGACCACTGAGACTCACTTCTGCCTTTATTCATGTTTATATATAATTTTTAGGCCATTTTCATTGCTAAACATGAACTAAATTTTAAATGTATTTGTAGTTTTATGTCTCTCTCTCTCTCTGTCTGTCCTGGACCCACCACAGGTCCTCTGGAGGTGCTACACAGTGCTGTGGACAATGGGAGTCTCCGAGAGTGAGATTTGCAGATTACCACAGACAAAGAACACCAGAGGGGATCCGGATCACAAAATGAGCGTGTATCTTTTTTTAGGACAGAGACAAAAAGGACATCAGTCATGTTTTGTTCAACTCCCCTCTCTTCAGGAGTCACTTAGCCAACAGTGGGAGACTGTGCAAAAGAGCTATCAATCTTTCATCTATTTTGATAACAAAACAGAAAAAAAGCGTTAAAAAAATAATGATTTAGAAAAGGGTAAGGAAAACACAATGTGTTTTTTTATGCACGTAATGGCAAATTCTTATTTTTAAGAACTACCCTGATGAAAAAACAGCATATGCTGGTTAGGTATGGTTTGAAGCATGACAGCTGGTCCTGAGCTGGTTGTAAGATGGCTAGCAACTAGCTCCTGCTCATAACCAGCTCAGAACCAGCTTAAACCAGCTCAAACCAGCTGTCATGTTTCAAACCATACCTAACCAGCATATGCTGTTTTTTTCACCAGGGTAGTTCTTTATTATGGGAGGATCAAAAAAGAGAAAGTTAAAAATGTGTCTCTTATTGTTTGTAAAATATGCAACTTTTAGATTTGTTCTTTTTTCTTCGGTCAGCAGCAGCAGTAAGATATTTTTGTACAGATTAAGATGCAAACAGTGCATTTTGTTTGTCTTATTTTTGAATTTGTTGTTTGATATTTAGGTGTTTTGGTGAAGAAACCATTTAAAGCCACTTCTTTATGCCGCACCATTTTAAGAATCTTCAAAGAAATAGTGATGAAATCACTCTAATTCAATCATAATTTCTCTGAAAGCAACAGACAATCATTAACTTATTATTTATTGCAAAGTTTGGTACATAGCAAGGCAATATAGCTTTGTCTTTCAAGTTCATATGAATTATTCGATGCAGAAATAGCGATTTTCTGGTTTTGTGCATTTTCTTTTTAATTAGTAATGGAAATGAATCAGAATTTTTGTAAAATATATATATATATATATATATATATATATTTGAGGGGAATTTTAAATCTAATGATTACCTGTGAAACAGTTTGTGCCTAACGTTACAGTATTCAGGATCAATTCTTTTTTATTTCAAATTTAAAAAGTATAAATCTTTTTAGACATTTTAGAAATTATTAAAAAATTCTGTATCCTCTCTTGATACTGTAAAATTAGAGATAGGGCTGATTTAGTATTTTATTCTGTGTATATACAGTAATGATACCAAATATTTCAGGTTTCTGAAAGCTGGTTTTTGTGTTTAAATGTGCATTATAATGCACATAGTGTTTCATACATATATGGCCTACAGTACATGAGTCTACAGGAAGTGACTTTAAGTGGTTTGTTAGTATTAAAAATAGTTCATAAAAGTGATGATAACACGCGACTTGATGAAGCTGTTCAATACCACACTGCTATAAGTCGGCATATTTTTATTTGTGCTGTAGTACGGCAGATATGTGTCAGTCTGGTTGGAAGAACTGTCGTTTTGGTAGACTTGAAAGAAAGATTCACCTTGTGAATCCATCAAACACATGCAGTAGGAGAATATAATCATGAAAAGAGAAGACAATCAAGGCATTTGGTTTTTAGCTGGCCTTTATGTTATGCAGGATTTTATTTTTATTTGTTGGTCAAAAGTCATACTTAAAGGTACATAGTGATTCAGAATAAGACAAAAACACATTTTGGAAGATGGACTCATGATGTTCTCGCTCATTGTATCAATTTGGTAGATTTTGAACAAAAAAGTAACACAGTGTACCTTTATTTTTGGTCTTTCTTAACTTTCTACACTGGTTTATTTTTACTACCATATTTACTTTTTTTCATTTTTTTTAAAGAATAGTTCACCCAAAAACAAGAATTTGCTGAAAATGTACTCACCTCATGTCATCCAAGATGTGTTTTGAGAAATTTAGCGTTACATGCAGTGAATGGGTGCCGTCAGAATGAGAGTCCAAACAGCTATTAAAAACAGCACAATAATCCACAGCACTCCAGTCCATCAGTTAACATCTGGAGAAGACAAAAGCTGCGTGTTTGTAAGAAACTAATCAATCAAGATAACTACAAACCCTTGCTTCTGACTAAAATACGAGTCCACAATCCATAATATTGCTTTCTCCAGTTAAAGTCAGGACAGAAGTCTGCACAGATCAAGCACCGCTCACAAGCGGAAACAGTCCAAAACAGCTCTAATCAAATCAGATTTTAATGTGAAAGGAAAACGGGATGGACTTACTTGTGGATTATTGTGGTGTTTTTATCAGCTGTTTGGACTCTCATTCTGACGGCACCCATTCACTGCAGAGGATCCATTGCTGAGCTGTCCACATTTCTCCAAATCTGTTCCCATGAAGAAACTCATCTACATCTTATCTAGCCTGAGGTTGAGTGCATGTATTTTGTTTTTAGGATGTTTAGATATTGTAAAAGAAGACCAAAATAGCGATTGGTACACTGATGTTTAGCAGTGTGTTACGGCGACGTGGCCTCATCAAGTTGTGTGTTATCATGGCTTCGGTTCTGTACAGTGCAGAGATTTGTAGAAATATCTTCAAAATGGTGCTGGGTTATACATGAGACATGCATAGCAGGAAAAAACGATTAAATGGAACAGACGGTTAGGATCGAGAAGGACAGAAGCAGTTCTTCAGCAAGCGCAGTCGCTTTCTTCCTAATGCTGCTGTTTTTCTGATTTGTTTGAGTTTATCTTCCAAGTGAGATTAGCTGTAGTTTTTGGGCAAAGCTTTACTTTCTGAACACTTTTTTTAGATGATGAATTAATTTGGTTGTGTGTGTTGGTTGCTGTTTCTTTTTAAATTCCGGATTCATAGGATTTTTTTTTGTGTGTTTGTGTGCAAAGGAAAGACATTTTCTTCAGTTACTTACATGTTCTTATGTCTTTCGCTGTGCTGTTTGTTGTTTTACTTGAAATGTACTGTCCTGGTCAATCATGATGCACTTCTACAAGAGTTTGAATATCCAAAATGAAACTTTTTGATATCATTGATAATCAGTGTTTAATCACTCACAAGTTTTTTGTACACTAAACCATACCAATATATGGTATAAATGTCTTTAGAAAGACTCGCTCTTCTATAGGATAGAAACACAAGGGCTTATGTAACACTAAAGACACATGATGCTGTTGTTATTTCATTCGTTTGAGGGCTTCCCCTTAGTGCACTTGACATTTTATGAATTTAAAGCCATGACCTTGATAGGAAAACTATTAAATGGTTTCATTAAGAGACTTGGAATGGCAGGATCTCCATCCATAAAAATACATGCTAGCTACTAGCGTTTGACATTACATTCAAAGAAATTGTGTTATTGAAACTGATTGATACCTCTTTTACAGTTTACCATCACTCAGGCTGAAATTCAAAGTATTGGCAGTCATTGAAATCTTTGTGATGCTCTTGTCTTCAGATTCCCAAAGAGTCAGTTCATTCCTGCTACCAAAGATATCAACGCCACCAAGATACAACATGCATATACAGTATGAAAACAACCACAATTGTTTCTTACTAATATATTAAATCCATGTGAGTGATTAAGGAGCTGAATTAGTTGGCTTCTGCAAAGAAAACGTTTTTCCTGATTTTGTCACCTTTTTTTTCTCATCCCTTGCCCACTTTTTCAATGTGATTTTAGTGTTGATGTTTTAAGTTCTGACAGCGCTATGTCAAATCTTCTGTAGGCTACTAAAGATATTTCTGAAATGATACCATGCAGTTCACATCATGAAGGAAAATGGGATTTATTTTGGTTATCGAACTTATAAATCAAATCACCATTATTAAACAAAACATTAAACATGGTTTTGAAACTATGAAATGATGATATGTTGATTTGAATTCAGATGTATTACATCTATCTAAACTATTATAAATGTTAATTAGTAAGTAAATTAGTAGCTGCTAATTGTTTGACCAGCTCATTTCATAGTTTCAAAATGGATTGCTGCTAACATTGGGTGTTCACGCTGTTCACCAGATAAAGCCAAAAACAACAGAACCATTAAAAGTTATCGTAGTGAAGCTGTAATTCAAACATGCAGAGTTCAGAGTTTGTTCAATGTGCCTCAAGAAATTACATTTGTTTAGTTGTATTGGGTCGGTAGACTAGATCTCTAGAAATGGGTGGTTGTACAGAAGTCAGTACTGTATGTTTGTGATGCTGATGGCTTGTCTTTTGAACAGCTTTTAAAAACATTCTTTATTTATACAATAACACATTTTGTACAGGTAGCTGAAGAAACAGTTTGGTGGTTTGTTTGCATGTTAACCAGAGCTTTTAGCCAGTAATGTGTCTTCCTATGCCACGGTTTCTGATTTTCTGTTACGTTTTTTTTTTTTTTACAAAAAATGTTCTTCTGTTTTTGTTTGTGCCTTTTTTTTTAACTGATCTCTCAAATTCCCTTTTTTAATAAAATCTTGTTTGTATTCCGTTGGTATGTTTACTTTTTCAGTTATTCATAGCATTTTCACTATAGAACATTAAAACATCAACAGCAGTTTGAAAAAGCCAACTTACTGATATTGTATTTAAACGTATTCTTCTTCTTCTTCTGACCAAACATTTGAACAGTATCTCCTCCTAGAGCTTTAAAGCTACAACCACCAAACTTGGGTCAGACCTTCAGACTGTTCTGACTCGGGTTGCTATATCTTTTCTAACTGATCCAACTTACAGTTTTCCTAAAAATGACTATCAAACCTTGGAAAAATCCCATAGACTTTCATTGAACAGTCTTGGCTGATCTGAACATTCCATCAAACTCCAACTGTCAAAATTAAAATTTAAACACACAGACTCAATTAAACTGCCATTCTATGTACTATTTTTAAGCCATTTAAACTCATTCAAACTCATTTAATCTATCTATCTATCCTGACCACTTATATCTATAACTGTAATATAACAACTATGTTATATATATAACTACCCTGAGCACCTTAGCAACCACATCGCTAGCTTTTAAAACTACTAAACTAAAACTTAAACTATTTAAAAACTTCAAGTTTCAAGCTTTTGAAACTACTTCAAACTTTCTGGCTAGGCTTGTTCAAGCCAACTTAAAGTTTGTCTACGAACTTTACTCATCTAGTTATTATTATTATTCAGATTTATTATGATCAATTGTGAGGACTCAGTCTTATTTTCATTCAACTTTATAATTATACTTCATTTGCCACTTACTAAATTCTACCACATACAGACACAATTCATTCATTTATTCATCAATTTAGTTGGTTCAAATAATTTTGCCTTCTGGATGCAAATCCTTGCTATACCTACTGTTAATGTTATACTGTAAATAGTGGTAACCTGCAGTTAGCTTAGCTTAGCTTAGACTGATTCAGTGTGATATTAAATACTTTTTTTCCAACTTGGATAAAACCAGTTACTTTAAATGCTACCATTTTTAGGATACCATTTTTTCGGTGCACTGTTCTGCAAATTTACATTAGTACAATTTACCATATTTTAGAATAAGAAAGTCAACAAATTAAAGTATGGGAAATTATTTTATGTTCAAATTAAAACTTATAAAAAACCTAATAAAAAACACAACAGTTCTAGTCCTTGAATCTGATTGGCTGAGGTCTTCCATGAGTACTGTTGGGTATTTTACCAGTATCAGCACTGGGACTGTTCACCGTTTATGGGACTGTTCACCACGCTGACCGGCTTAACAATAGTGGGCTATGACTATGTGAGCCTGGGCTACCACGCCGACTGGCTTAACTCTAATTAGACGTGCACTATGTGTAATGTTTAATTAACAAAATGGATACATTGCAATCCAATAGATAAGACCCCAGCACCCACCTGAGCAAATATCATAATTTAGTCATTTGATAATTGCTGTTACTTCTCCACTTCATCAGTCCCAGTGGCAGGATAACAGCTTGTTAATTCATGTTCGTGCAATGATGAGACGGAAAAAAGTTAGCCGATGTATGCCATTTTACTCTCTCGTGCAGATAAAAGTTTTCAAAGTTTTTTAGGATACCATTTTTTCAGTGCACTGTTCTGCAAATTTACATTAGTACTATTTGCCATATTTTAGAATAAGAAAGTCAACAAATTAAAGTATGGGAAATTATTTTGTTCAAATTAAAACTTCCTAATAAAAAACACAACAGTTCTGGTCCTTGAATCTGATTGGCTGAGGTCTTCCATGAGTACTGTTGGGTATTTTACCAGTATTAGCACTGGGACTGTTCACCGTTTATATAACACCACTTGTCTCTGTTGTCTCTGGACGGGCAGCTTTTCTCCCAGTGAGCGGCAATGGAGGAGGAGCAAACCCACTATAATTTTTGAAATACCAGTATTGTTGTGTCGTGAAATGTAGTTCTGTCATGACAACTCTCGGAGGGATTGGCATGGTAATGTACATGACAATGTTAATGTATTTGGTCTTGGCGGTAGGGCTGACAAGCTACACAAAATCGCTTTCAAAATCGCAGGCGATTCATTGCCAATTTTGAACACGATTTTGTGTAGCTTGTCAGTGAACTACAGCTCTGTGTAGTCAATGCCGATCCATCTGAATGCACGTGCTGGAGATTTACTACTAATCACAGGAGTGGCTTTACACAACATGCTGCTGTGAGCATGTAAGAAATACATACATGAAATAACCCCATATAGCATAAATGAATCACCTCGTAGCATATCTATACAGGTGGAGCTGGGGAACGTGGAGGGTTTCTGAAGCAAGCTGCTACTGCAAGCACTAGTCATAAATTTGAATGTTGAGCAGCGAGCTCACTGGCTACCGATACAGGAGAGAACCAATCAGCTGTGCCATGTGATAATGATTTCATTAGGTCAGATTCAGTTAGACCTATCAGGCTGCGCCATCTCAATATCGGAGGGATTGGCATGGTAATGTACATGATAATGTTAATGTATTTGGTCTTGGCGGAATAGATCTGCTACGCTTCTGCTACTGAGGCAGAGCAAGTACCGAGACTTGCTACTGCCAATACATCCACAACATGCTGCTGTGAGCATGTAAGAAATATTGCTGCTGCAAATATAACATACATGAAATAACCCCCCACAAAGCATGTGAGCCTGGGCTACCACGCCGACTGGCTTAACTCTAATTAGACGTGCACTATGTATAATGTTTAATTAACAAAATGGATACGTTGCAATCCTATAGATAAGACCCCAGCACCCACCTGAGCAAATATCATAATTTAGTCATTTGATAATTTCTGTTACTTCTCCACTTCATTAGTCCCAGTGGCAGCATAACAGCTTGTTAATTCATGTTCGTGCAATGATGAGACGGAAAAAAGTTAGCCGATGTATGCCATTTTACTCTCTCGTGCAGATAAAAGTTTTCAAAGTTACAGTGCACAAAAACCACTGGGTGGACTGACCTGAATTAACTGAAATAAAAGCAGAATATAAATGTTCTTTCTCCGTTTTCTGAATTACACAGCACACCGAGAGCACACGTCACACGAGAACATTTCTCCGAACTACACTACCCATAATGCATTTCGCTCGGAACTAACTCTTACAGCCGTAGATAGTGATCTTCAGCATCTCCTGCAACACTGTCATTAATATGACTGCGATAAGAGCGTGCTTCTGACGCTGCGTAAAGCTGAAATCAACCACACACTCATCACAATGAAAACATCGACCTTAAAAATAACGAATGTGAACACTGGGATAATCGCCGATATATATGGCGAACCCTCGTTGAAATGCATACACAAGAATGCTTATTTAATTTAACCGGTTTCATTTCCGTTAAGTCACCTAGTCAAGTCACCTTTATTTATATAGCGCTTTTAACAATACAGATTGCTGTGTTTTGTTCCAGCTGTATAAACACAGATGCTAAATGCTGCTTCTACTCTGCTTAATATTCACTCCGGCATACAATGCAAACTGCTAACATGACACTTAGTTTAAACTTGATTATGGTTGCTCATTTTTAAATTCAATTAGGCAGACCACGCAATACACAGAGTGATATGGATTAGAAGAGCATTCACTTATCTTAGATGTTGATTTCGCTGTTCTGAAGCAAGCTGCAACTGCTACGGCAAGCACTAGTCATATATTTGAATGTTGCGGACTGCACCATCTAGAGTTTCATGCCAGAACTCTGTATTTGTTTTGATCAAATCTGAGGTTTATTTATAAACATTTTTCCCTTTATTTATATAGTGCTTTATACAATTCAGATTGTGTCAAAGCAGCTTTACAGTGTTAAACAGAAGAAAAAACACGTACTGATAATGCAAGAGGACAATAGAAAACAGTTAGTTCATTGATGATTCAGTGATGTCATCATCCAGTTCAGTTCAGATCTCTTCCAATAATGTCTGTGCAGTCAAGTCAACAATGTTGCCAGAAATTGTGTCCCCAACTAAGCAAGCCAAAGCCGACAGTGGCAAGGAACCAAAACTCAATCTGTGAGAGAAATGGAGAAAAACCTGCAGGCTCAGTCGGGGGAGCAGTTCTCCTCTGGCCAGATGAAACTAACATGGCGTGGTTTAATTCCAGGCTGCAACACAGGTCAGATTGAGCAGACGACTTGTCTGGTTCTCCTAGTCTTGTGCCATTGGCTGACAAGGCCTTCACAAGGGATCTGTCTCTAGGGTTTGTCTAGGTGACATGGTCTCCGCTGACATTCAGGTCTGTAGAGGTCATCTCTAGGTGCTGATCCACCATCTGATCTGAAACAGACTGGATCTATATGGCTTCAGTGACATCGGAATAAGAATGAAAGAGACTAATATTAGCGTAGATGCCATTCTTCTTACGTAACGAGTAGCAAGTACATCGGGTATTATGGGAAGTGTACGCACCTATCCTCAATTAACGTTTGGATGTGTGTCTCTAGTTCTGAAATCTTCTCTGTCAGCCTAACTATTTCCCTGCATTTATCACATGTGAATCCCTCGCCACTGACAGAGAAAGCTAGTATGTAGAGTACATGTGAAAAGAAACGGAACGAGAGAGAGAGAGAAAGAAACGGTAGGTGCGAATGACAAGCTAACATGCTAACGCGCTGCACTCACGGTTTATATTTAAAACGCAAACAATATCAAATTAG